GTAGTCTTTGTCCCACGAAACATACAAAGAGCAAACTTTCTAGAAATGCGAAAGGGTTGTCTGCTACAACCACCCCTCCCTTTTCCTCCTATTTATTCCCCAGCCAGGGAGGGGCCATTCAGGGTCCACATTTGTTTTGCTTCCCAAGCCAACTCATTGTCCTCCATTGTTCACCTCTCCTATCTGCTCTGTGCATACGTGCATCTGGAACAGGCCCCAGCTGTTCCTCCTCCTCACTCATCTCTGATTCCAAAGCCAGCTACCTCTCTGGGGGCTGGGAAATGCCGGACAGCCCTGCCTCTTTCTCTGTGTCCGACGCTGAGCATCCATCAGAGCCTTCCCCAGGCTCCAGAACTGGCCCAAGTTCTTTCCCAACTTCCTCATTGTGTGAGTCTGCCACCAGCTCTGCTGGCGGCTGGTGGACCACAACAGAAGCCCAGCAAGCTGAAGTGGAGATCCACGAAATCAAGCAGAAAGGTAGCCCTGCCAAAGAGTATGTCAGGGAGTTCAGAAGGGTTGCTGGCAAGCTGCAGCACTGGCTGGAACAGCTCCTGGTCTACTTCTTTAAAAAAGTCCTAGACCCAGAGCTACTTCACACATGTGTCTGTCGAGGGGTCCCTTATCGCATCCATGAGTGGTACCGAATGGAGGTGGTGTGGACCTCGAACTCAACTGGCACAAGAAATGCTGGTCCACTGAGAGGAACCTGAAGAGCCAACCTGAGAGACGCCAACTTGGCAGGTAGCCCAGCCCCCGCCAAGCTGAAGAGCACCCAAGGGGGGACCTCAGGACAACCCATCAAATGCTTCTGCTGCAGCCAGCAAGGTCACCATGTGACTGAATGCCTGGCCCTGGCTCCACAACAAAAAGGGAAAACCTCAGAGCTGGCTAAACTGAATAAGCTGCCATGGAAAGTGACGGAAAGGGGAAAATTCACCCACCAAGCTGTTGAGGTCTCCCCTCCCCCAAGCGAGGAAGAGGGAATTCCAGCCCCACAACCCTGACTGCCCACGCCCTACAACAGCAACAACGAGGGAAAGGACAACCCGATGGTAATTGAAGCCATCTGCCCATTCTCCATCCAGTCGAAGCTAGTGGTGCCAAAAACAGGAGTGCAGGGGGAGGTGGAAGCCATCATAGACATGGGGTGCACCCATTGCCTGATCAGCCTACCCATGGTCCTAAAATTGGGGATCAAGACAAAAATGACCTGGTCCATACGGTTTGAGGAGGTAGATGGATTGCTAATAGGGGGAGCCCCTGCTACGCTTCTCACCAAACCAATAAGGCTAGAAATGGGCTGACACTAGGAGATCATCAGCTTTGTGGTGGCGCCAAAGATGACTGAAGCAGTGATTCTAGGGCTAGCATGGCTGGAGAAATGGGCCCCCACTATTTGGTGGGAAGGGGGTGACCAAAAGCTAAGGCTGGAAATATATCTTCCTCCCCCTGCAACTGCAGCGGGGGGAGCAGTCCAACAGCTGAGTGACACTAAGTGAGACGACAAAGCCAAAGCAACTCTGAGCAACTCCCAGGGATGCCCAAAATCCCCAGGGAGTACCAAGATCTAGCAGGTGTGTTCAGTGAAGAGGAATGTAACACCACCACCACCACCCCCGCCCCCCAATTGCACCATAGAATTAGTTCCCGGAGCGAAGCTACCCAAGCCAAAAATGAAACCCCTAATGAAATGATCCCTAATGAAATGAAGGAACTAAGGGAGTACATCGACCTGAACCTAGCTAGAGGGTTCATACAGCCAGCAAAATCGAGGGTGGCTGCCCCAGTCCTCTTCAAGGAGAAAAAAGACAGGACAATAAGTCTATTAGAAGGATTTTAGGGGAATAAACACTGTTTGTGTGGAAAGTATGTACCCACTCCCACTCATGAAAGACCTGTTAGCCCACCTGGAGAAAGGAAAAGTATTCACCAAATTAGTCCTAAGAGAAGCATACTACTGGGTACGAATCAAAGAAGAAGACAAATGGAAAATGGCATTTAATTGCCCTTTAGGAAGCTTCCAATTTAAAGTAATGCTGTTTGGTCTCCAAGAAGCCCCTGCCATGTTCATGCAACTAATCAATGAGGTGCTGCATGAGCACTTGTACAAAGGGGTCCTAATTTATTTAGTTGACAATCTCATTTTTACTGAGACTCTAGAGGAGCACATCAAACTTGTGCACAAGGTGCTAAAGAAACTCCTTGTGGCCAAACTATTCATAAAACACATCTATAGGCTGCATTGTGTTCCTTGTAGAATCATTTCTGACAGGGGGGTCCAGTTTACAACTAAGTTCTGAAGGGGGTTTATATGGTCCACTGGGACCTCACAGGTGCTCAGTTCTGCATTTCATCTGAGTACTAACAGGGCCGCAGAATGCGCAAACGCCATGGTTGAACAATATTTAAGATGCTAGGTAGACTATCAGCAGACCAATTGGGCAGAGTTTTTGCCTTTTGCCCAAGTGGCATATAATAATGTGGTGCATAGTAGCAATGGGTTAACCCCTTTCCAGTTCACAAGTGGCATGGAGTTCGTCCCCATGCCTGGACTCCCTTGGGAGCCACACTCCTCCATGTCTTCAAATGAATGGATGGAGTCGCTGAAGAAAGCCTGGGAAAATACGAAGTGGGTTCTTCAAGAGGCAGCAAAACCCCATAAAGCACAAGCTGACAAGCATCGCATAAGGTGTACCTCTCAACCAAGTACCTGAGGCTGAAACTCCCCTGAAAAAAGTTGGGACAAAAGTTTATAGGGCCTTTCCCAATAGTAAAAGTGATTAACCCAGTTACAGTGGAGCTGAAACGTCCCTGCCTGCTAGGGAAAGTGTATCCGGTTTTTCACAGCAGCTTGTTAAAGCTCATGGTAGACTCCCAGCGAAGGCCAGTGGACCAGGCAGCCCCAAAACCAATCATAGTGCAAGGGGAAACACTTTCCAAAATAAAAAGGCTTTTGGATTCCAGATTGTACAAGGGGAGATTACAATACCTAGTAAAATGGAAGTGGTACCTGCTTTCCAAAGCCACGGTCATGCCCCTGGTGGAGACTGACTCTGAGGAAGAGGAGGAACAGCCAACAGGGAGTGGGAGTATGGCTCCAGAGGTGGTGGAGGAGGCTGGGGAAGGGCAGAGGCTGGCTGAGCAATCAGTGGAGGATCCAGGCCCATCCCCTATCCATCCTAGGTCACGCAGGGAGGAGAGGATCACGGAAAAACGAGGTCTCCTCAAGAGGAGATTACCATGATCCTCCTCATGGCTTGCAGCTGGGAGCTATGTATATAAGTTTGTAACTGCGCAGTCAGAATTGCTGGAGTCAATTTAGTGTTTACTTTGAAAGAGGTTTATCTTTGCTGGCGTTCTTCCCATGGACTCTCCTCAGTTATTTTCCTGGAGTTTATGATTAGTTATCTTGGCTTGCTTCAGAACTCTCATCAATGCAGTTTGTTTTGGTTTTCTTTTTGCCTCATTATTTACTTTTGTGACTTTAAACTGTGCCTAATAAAACAGTGAAGTTAAGTTGAAGGCATTACCCGACTTTAATGTATGTTTTGGGTTTTGGGTTATTTTGAGAGACTACAGGTCATCACAGCCACATGGGTAAAGAGCTGGAATGTAAAGGCAGAAAGATTGATTAACCAGTTCCATGACAAATTCCCGCAAAAGGCAAAAGCCCCTCCTGGTGGGGGAACACAAAAGGTGGTTGATTGAGCACTAATTGACCTCCATCTGGTTTTCTTTTCTTTTGCAGGAGCTTCTCACAAAGGTCCAACTGTCAACCCTGAAGCGAGCCTGGCTGAGGCCATCTTCATGGTTGCCACAAAGTGAAGGGGGAGAAAGGGAGTGGGGGATTTTAGATAGCATAGCTTGGCTTGGCCATCAAAATAAAAAGTTTTCTTGTGGGAACCAAGGTCATCCCAACAGGTGGCTGAGAAGAGGAGGAATGGAGTAACAAAGCAACCTGCTAGCACCACTATTGGACACTGTGGCGGATGACCTGGGGGGAAAGGGGGAACTTTTACTTTTTAATTAGGTGAAAACTGCAGGAACCTTCAGAGTTGGTTTTCACCAGTTGTGCCAATATGATGTATCCAATAAATTGTTCTTTGAGGAATATACCTGCCTCGGAGTTCTGCTTTCAATGGGTGCATTACTTGGAATGCTGACATAGCCATTATTTTTTTAAGGGTGGTTATTTGGTTTTAAGGTTGGATTAATTAATTTTTAATAATTTTTTAAATTGAACTAGGGCAGGGTATGTACAAGCATATCCTTTGGGTTAGGGCAGGGCCCCTCCAAACCCCAGGCTGTGGCCCACTAGTGAGCTGAGGCCTGTTCAAAACTAGGCTGCGGGAGAAACGGGCAAGCATGCTTGCATGAAGCTCCACTCTCACAAGCAGAGGGTGCTTGCGCACAAAGCTCCATTCACACAAGTGGAGCATTGCATGTGAGCAGCCTCCGCTTACGCGAGTGGAGCTTCATGTGTGAGTGGAAGAGCCTGCCACTCACACTAGTGGAACTTCGCGCACAAACGCAAGCAGCCTCCACTTCCTTGCGAAACTCCATTCGCGTGAGTGAAGCTTTGTGCGCGAGCAGAAGAGCCTGCCGCTTGTGCACATGCTCTTGCACATGAGTGCAAGCACCCTCTGTTCACATGTGAAGCTCCATTTGTGTGAGTGGAGGGCATGTGCTTTTGCCTGCCATTCACATGCCAACCCCCCTGCACCAGGGCAGGCCTGCCAAGCTAGAAAGGTTGGGGATCGCTGGGTTAGGGTACCGGTTATGGGGGGGGGACGAGAAGTAGTTAACTAATAAGAGCATATTGGTTAACAAATATTGGTTTAATTAGACTATAACAAAAGCAGAGAAGAAAATGTGGACTGAGAAGGGAAATAAGAAAGCTGTTAATTGAAGAAAGGAAAGCTGTTTGCACAAGTATTACGTAAATACAGATAGCTGTACTATTAGTTATACTCCAGTCTTTCAAAACAGATTTCTTGTACCTTTTTTACAGGAATCTGGTGGATGATCTGTTATTTCTTCCCAGGTTTTGCTCATACCACCTTCAGTACCAGTTGCTTCCACGTGTATCATGTGATTCCCCCACACTTTTGCATTAGGATTTAATTCAGAAACCTTGGCTGGATCCTGTAATGCATAATACATACTCAGAACACATATGCTTATTAACTGCATAAGCACACACACATATATACAGAACAGCATTTATCACATTAAAAAAAAATCACTGTAACAGTTGCATATATAGGAAGTGCACAATATGAAAGAATTACACTTTATAAAAATAGACTTCCTATAAAGACCTTGAATCTGGGCATTTAACTGAATTCACTTTGTCACTTAAGACTAAATCATAAGCACCTTGTTTTTACATTGTTCCTTATTATGAACAAAAGTATTTGTCTACATTGACTAACTCCTTGAATCTGTTTCTCTGTACACATAAAGGGATGGATTTTCATCAACTTCCTGTTTATCTACAGTCTGTAGATAGCTCTTTGCACAACATATTCCCATAATATTCTCTGTATCCTCACAATTCCCAGGAACAAACTTTGGAGGAACAAGAAAAAGATGGTAACAATCTTATTTTTGAAAAGAAAGCTAGATCTAAGCCTTTGTAAATATCCAAGGTTTATGTCAACTTCTCTCCTCTAAACTGAGAACATTTTAAGATTAGTGTCAGATATCTTCATCAGTTCATTAAAAAGGCAGCAGTGAACAGGAGAACAAGGGAGCCACATAAAAACACCTAATAGAAAAATCAAAAGCAATACTGTATTCTTATAGTAGCCATCTAAAATTAAAACCATTGTTTTACCAAGAGGTATAAAGATAACTATTTTATAACCATTTAACCAGTGATGACAAAGGATGACTTCAGCGTGAAGTTTGAATACAATATTGCCTGTGTTGTGAGCCCAGTCATTAAGTTGTATAAACCACGGTTAACTGCTCAATACAATGTATGAATCACATAAGGTATTTAGGCTATAAATCCAAGGTATTTAGGCTATAAATCCAAGTCCAGCCGACAACAATTTAGTCAACAAATTATAATATACATGGTTAAAACCCTCAAGCAAAATTTATGCTAAGTCCTCACCATTCAACAGTTCACTTAGTGACCGTTCAATGTTACAATGGCACTGAAAAAAGTGAATTATGACCATTTTTCACACTTACAACCATTACAGCATCCCCAGGGTCATGTGATCAAAATTCAGACACTTGGCAACTGACTCACATTTATGACAGTTGCAGTGTCCTCAGGGTCATGTGATCCCCTTTTGTGACCTTCTGACCAGCAAAGTCAATGGGGAAGCCAGATTCCCTTAACAACCGTGTTACTAATTTAAGAACTGCCATGATTCACTTAACAAATGTGGCAAGAAACATCATAAAATGGGGAAAAATGCACTTAACAAATATCTCACTTAGCAACAGAAGTTTTGGGTCTCAATTGTGGTCGTAAGATGAGGACTACCTGTATTGAAGTCTTTTAGGTTTAGTTCTCCATGTTAACATATTATCTTACAATTTAACTAGCTATAGCAATTCATGTGTTACAATAGCTATTTAAATGTTTAACATAATATAAATGGGCCTTTTAATTAAATAATTCCCTTAAGGAATTAGTTTTAATAGTACTGGGGTAAAAGAGTTATCCCTGGGAACATTTTTAAAAAGATTAATACACTGCATTTATATCACTGGATGTCACTTCTCTTTTCCAAATAAAGAGAAAAGCATGCATAAAACACATGCAGTATAATGTTTCATGAAGATAAATGGCTACCTCTGCCAACAATACTATAAAATTCAGTCCTTCAAAAACAGAATTAGTAAGGAAGCCACTGCCTGATTATTTTTAAAGAATGACAATGTTCAAATGTCATATTAAAACATGTTTGGTTACAAAGCCTACTTAGGTAATATTCATGTGTTCTTAATTGATATTCCTGCTTCTGGATCTTAAAGACAAAATGATTTTTTAAATTCAAGATTAAAATACAAAATACAAAGAAAAAAGTAACAAAGTCAAAACAAAGCTAGACAAAGCCTTCCGGTTTGCCAGGCTTCGGCGGCGGCGGGGATTCGCGACAGTGCGCGATCCCTGTTGCGCTAGCCATCTTGGTGCCTCCGATCCTGATGGGTCTGGAGGATAAGGCTGCCCTGTAGAGGCAGCCGAAGATAGGGAGGATCTGGGAAGGGGTTAGGGGGTGTTGCAGACCCCCTCCTCACCCAGCTTAACCTCCTTTTCTCAAGGCGGTGGAGCGGCGGTCAGCAATGGCTGCCACAAAGAAGCCGGCATCTGGAAAAGATTGTGCTGGAGGAAGAAGGAGAAAGAAGAACCAGAAGTGAAAGTGTTGGCTGAGCCGGGAAAATAACAACCTTTAAAACCCTGGAATGGAATTGCTGGAATTGCCTGAAAGATACATTGCATCCCTAAGAAGAGAAAAGCGGCGGAGAAAGCTGTCAAGGGAAAACTTTTTTTTATTCACTCTCCCACACCATAGAAAGCAGACGGAGACTTGGAAAATATATTTGGGCACCGAAGGTAATTCAACTTGAAAGTTATGAAATAAAGGATTTTTGGACTTTGGACTTAACAACTTCAGAAATTGGAAAACCCGTATTTGAGGTATGGATTTCTGAGCGTTTAAAGGGAAATTGCTGTTGTAAGTGGGGGGAGAGGAAAAAAAATTTTTGGAGCAGAGCTTGAAAAAGGAGGAGACTGCCTAGAACTTTAAAGAAAGATATATTTTAATGGGAACTTTTTGATCAATCAGTAACCCCAGAAAGAGAAATAGCAGAAGGAAAAAAAAGTATTAAAAGAAATAGTTTATTTGGATCTTTTAGTGACTTTGGAATTTTTTGGAATTATTCTTGATTAAAAACACTTGGGTGGTTGTTTTTGAAGAAGTTTTTCTCTTCATAATGGCATTGCTTCTGGATGAACTAAAAATTCAATATCAAAAATATAAAAAAGAAGAGCAAGATGGAAAAGACACTTTGGGCACTCTTTTTCAATTTCTAGAAATGGCGGTATGCACTTATGAAAAACGGGCTACACAGCAGGATGACTGGAATAAAGAAGAAGAAGAAGCCATCTTGGATGAACAATGGGTTTTCTTTGGGGAGGAGGAGGAAGAGGAAAAGAAAAAGGGGATTTTAAGGTTTGAGAAAACAATCCAAAAAGAGAAAAATGAGATGAAAGGTGGATACAAGGTTAGAAAACAACAGAAAGGGGGTAAGCAGAAGAAGAAAAGGGAGGAGGAGAGACAATGGGGTAAAAAAGGCAAGGAGAAAAATAAACAAGAGAGAAAGGAGGGGATGAGAAGCCTTAATGGTGGGAAGCAAGTCTTAAAGAAACAAAATCTATTTAGAGACAATGGGTAAATTTAATTGAAAAAGGGATTCTGGAAGGTACATAAGAGTGTGTTTTTATATGTGTATTTAGAGTAAAATGTGTATTAATATATATGATTAGCTTTTTAATGGTACCTATGGTGGGTTATATGCTTTTATTTTGTAATTCTAGTGTACTTGTTTTTCTTATAAAATTTATTGTGTAATTTTAGAATGTACTAATCAGAATCCCAATATAATGTAATATATTAAGCATTATTAAGTTAGGGGAAAGAGTCAAAGGCGTTACTCCAATTAGTGTACAGGAGAAGTATATTTAAAGAGAAAAGATGGATGGATAACTGGAAAAGAACAGACAAAGAATGATAAGTATTATGAATTGTATTGAGATAAGATAAATAAAATAGAACTAAGAAAGATAAAAGAGGAAAGAAGCTATATAGAAAATTGAAAATGGTAATAAGATATGGAATGATATATAAAGTAAATATGATTTTTGAATTTGCGTCTGTGCGAAGAGCTTTAACCCGGGATCAAGCAGCTTTCAGAAAAGATGTTTTATGTTTTTTATGTTTTATGTCTTGTATGTTTGTGTATTGTTTTTTGAAAGGCAAAAAATTTTAATTAGTAAGAAATATAATCTGGATAATAGAATGAAAAGGAGAAATTGGGATAAGATATGAAGTTGAGCAGATAACGTAAATATACATATTACAATTTGGAAATATTTTGTATGTTCTACTGGTTTTTCCAAAAAGATCTTCTATGTTATTATGCCTTGATTGTCTGTGTGTTCTGTAAAGTTAATAAAATTTGTTTAAAAACAAAAACAAAAAACAAAGCTAGACAAAGAACATTTAAAAATGTGAATTAAAAGGACAAAAAACAAAAGCATGTATTATCCCCCCTAGTTGAACACTGACAAATATATTCAACAATAATAGCTTCCCCCTTGCAAATCAGGTCCAAAATGTATAAATTTCTACATCTATTTGCAATCCAATTTGAATTGTCATACATTGTATGTGTTGGAAGAAATATCCTTCTGGGTTCAGTTCCAAGTGGGGAAAAAGACACTGTAATCATGGAAGTTGCTTGGAAAGGAAGTTTAATGGTGGACAGGACCACATGGCTTGGAGTTCCTGAACAAACAAAGGGCGATCACATGCTTCAAGATATTGGGTGAAGGAAAAGAAGGGGCAAGATGCTGAGAGACCCTTAGTTTTATGCTCACTGTTGGGCCCCACCTTAGTGTTTCCTGTTTCTGTGTAATGTATCCCACTGGCTGTCAGACTCCTGGGGCAGGGGTCTTAGCTAACTTTGTAGGCTTTGTCTGGACCACATGACTACACCTGAGTGCTGGCTGATGCAATCTTCCCAGGCCATGTGGTGAGATAGATAGAAGGCTTTGTTATGTAGAATACTTTGGCCCAGGTCTTAATGGCCCACCCATTAACAAATGTGGGGGGTGAGCTTTTGCCTGAGTTTCTACTTCTTTTTAGGGGAAATATTCTGCCTTTTTAGTGTTTCCAAAAATATTTCATTTTTTTGTAGGAGAGGGGTGGGTGCCAACTTCCAACAAATACATGAAGAAAAATTAGTTAAAAGGTTAATCAACAGAAAAGTTAAAAGTTAAAGGCTCTCTGTCAACTATTTATTATTGTAGTTTACTCTTAGAAAGTCTACAAGGATTTCTTATCTACCCCAGATCACCCCAATCATTATCTCTGATCCTCATTTGGTTCTTAATAATA